GAAACTCCTGAACAAAAAACTAACACTAGAATAGAAGCTACATCTTTAATTAAAAAGTTTGACGATTATGAAAAAAAACAAAAAACTGATGATTTCATGTTGGCCTAACAAGTAAGGTAGAAACACTTAAAAAGAATGATTTTGATTCATTTGAAAATGAAGCAAGTAATTTATCCACCACTGGTGACAAAATATTTTACGAAGAAAGAAGCAGGCAAAACACAAACGGAAAATACTATTTGAAAATACTAATAATGAAATATTGTTAACAGGAAGAGATCGATTCATTTGTAGTTTTCTTTGTAATTTGTGGTCGACTAGTTACCGAAATTGACAAAAGAATGTAATGTTACATTTTAAAATATTATTTAATTTTGCAATAGAAAACAAATAAAAATATAAATATATGAAACAATTATCTAATTTATATATGAGTAACATAGATACTGAGTCACTTAAAGAAGAAACAGCACATTTGTTTTTAGAATTTTGCGAAGAAGAAAATGTTTGTTGCCCGGGTGACGTATAATTTACTATCGGATGATCGACATTTCCAAACGTAGAAACTGTGCTGAGAATTTTTTAAAAAACTTTTCCTATTAGTAATGCTACGGATGAAAAGTTATTTTCTGTGTTATAAAGAGTAAAGAACTATTTACGGAACACATTATCTTCTCTTTAACTTCTGAAGACAGAAAACGAGGAAATACAACATGTGAATTACGAAGAAATTGTTGCCTAGTTTGCAATAAAAAAAGTCGAAAAGTTTTGATATGAGGTAGGTGTTTATTCTTTATTTGTTTAAATCTATATTATTATATATATCTAATACAATATTAGTTACTAATTCACACTATGTCAAGGGTAATGTTAAACGATAGGGGCCCAAACTTGAAGTTGCGCCTTGGGCCCCAGAATAGCTAAATCCGTGACTGTTACAAAGGAAAATAATTAAATGATAATTTAAAAAGAACAATGATTTATTTTTCTGAAGATATATTTAATTTTTGTTTACTGTTAATTTACAAACGTTTTATTTATCTTGCACGGGTCAAATTTTGAGTTGTAAAGTGTTCTATCCTTTGGCTTGTTCTTTTGGATTATTTGGTTAAAATAATGCGAGATTTTGTCCAAGTTACAATCAAAAATAAATACATTTCTTTTTTAACATTTGCTACAGTCATGCTTACGTATATAATTAACTTCAGGCTTCATACAAAACCTTTCAACAGAAACTCCGAAACTACTGTAGGCCTAATGTACTAATAACGTTTAACAGATATTTTCTTAATTAATAACAAACCTGATTAGCTGACAGAAGCACTAACTCTTAGTGACCTGAATAACTTTCCTACATCAACAATTCAATATTTGTCGATCAAGAACTACTCGATCATCATTTCTGTATTTATACTGAGCTCCCACTTCTACCAAGTAGGGGAAGTTTCTAGGACTATTTTAAAGAATTTTCTAGATCTAGAATCATCATCATGATTAGCATCTCCCTCTGGTAAACAACTAAGTTATAACATTTAAAATATAACGTCCAGCAGTAGTTAATGATTCTGATCAATGCCAATTCCCGAAAGTTTAAAACATTTTAAAGTAATTTGCTTGTCTTCTTCTTCTTTTCTTTTTCCTTACAGCTATGTTATAGCTGTTTTATAGTATCATAAAAGTCCTAAAGGTCTTATCTTTCAAGTACTTTTGTTTCACATATTACGACATATCGATTAATATAAGTGACAATAGTATTTACATAATGCTTAATTAACGGAATTTAAAGTGAAATAATTACATGTAGTATACCTTTCACAGTAAATGGTTTAATTTGGTCACTCATTTCATGAGAAGATAAGAACTACATATATTTTATGAAATCGGGGAAAATAGCTACCCACCTTTTTCTTAGCAAGGCACTGAGATAAGAGATCACGTGACAACAATGGGTGACGACAACGATAAGGGTTCCATATCGCTTCCTGCCAAAAACAACTATGTCGATTACTGCACGATCCACATGGCAGAACCCACCGTCCTAAAATAAACCAAAAATAACCATAAGCAAAATATACAAATATACAAGGATTTATAGTATTCAGGTAGTTATTGTTGGTAAATCTTAGAGACGATACAGTCAAGGTAGGCACATTTTCTTCGGTAAGGTGGTTAGAGTGCCAATAACAATTCAGTTTTAAGTCACTTTACAGAAAACGCGATCTGTTTCCTTACCTTTAGCACAATATAGAACTTACAGACCCTTTTACATTTTTTCATCTTTAAATGTCTATGAAATCTTTAATGTTAACCTTATCAAACAGTTGCTTTGACAATATTTTCTCTAAGGTGGTTTTGAGCTCGACACTCCTATTCACATATAAAACTATAAGCATAGTAGATACATTAAACAGATGTTCACCGAAGTGTTGGTCTAAGGTGAAGTTTTGATTGATATGAGAGCATTTTTTTTTCATCCCGTCTTGAAGAGACTATTCATATTCTTTAGCTTTTCACTTGTTCCCTCTCTTCCGGTTGGTCAACGCTAAGTTTACATGTTTGAAATGCTAAGATTACGGGTTCTCGATTCTCCGCTGTGAACAAAGTTCAGATAGTCCATTGTAAAACTTTGAGACAAAAACAAACAAGCTTTTCAGACTATGGGAATTATTTGTGGCTCTTATCTTTTAAATAACATAACCTTGTAAGTATAAAAGAAAACCTTATCTCAGGCCTGTGGTTATTATAATTTAGCAGCTACTTAAGAGTTGAAATTCCTTCAGAAACTATTCAGCAAACAAAGAGTGTAAGGTTTTTAAAAACAACCGAAACTATTTTTAGCCGCGGCAAAGCGGCTCGTAGAATGGCCCCGAGTTTGTTTGTTTTTCAAGTTTCATAGCTCCGTCATCTCTTGACCGATTTGAGTTCTCATTACAGTTTTGGACTCAGGAGTTCAAATCCTTTCGATTCATGTATTTCACTCATAGATGAATTTACTCTAATCCTGCTTAAAAGAATTTCAATTACCGCGGCTTTTAAGGATTCCCTCATGTAACTGTGTAAACTAGCTCCTTTCTTCGTAAAACCTTCTTTTAGTTTTATTATCACAAATATTTAGTAGATATGTAAACGGTGAAACACTTCTGTTCAAGCAGTATAGAATTAATCTTGGATAACAATGACAGTTTGATGTTATTTTCTTAGTGCAAAGCTACAAAATAGGCAATTTGCGCTCTGTCACCGGGGCGGAGGGTGGGGAGGAATTGAGCCATGAATTTTAGCGCAGTAAGTTCGTAAACGTACTGATATCCCACTAGGGGACTGGTTTGTTTTAGCGAAAATCTACATAATGGACTATCTGTACTCTGTCCATCGCAGGGGCTTTAAACCCAGATTTTAGTGTTGTAATTCCATAAACTTACTGCTCATCTATCGGGAGAGGGGGGGGGGTAAAAGTTTGATACACTGTTCACTTTCACACTTTAAACTAGCGGTTCACCCAAGTAGGCGCACCCCTGACTCGTATACTTTATGTAAAAAATCATCGTGGTTTATATTAATAAAATGTTAAATTAAAAGAAACTGAAAAGTGGGTTAACAATACGTGAATGTTGAACGCTGGCTTCTGGCTATTGGCTAGTGGAATACGTTGGTAACCCAACGAGACTGTTCACCAGTTTTGATGTGTGGAATTTATTTTTAATGTTTTTTCAAAGTTTCTTGGGTAACATAGAAAGGTCTTCGCGTACCCGCAGGAATATGCGTATTACAGGTTAGAAACCACTGCTTTAAAATATAACACCTGCATTCAATGTGGGTGTACAACAAAATTGTCTGTTAGTTAATGAAAGAAAACCTTGTCCCAAAATGTGGCTCACGAAAGCAATCTCGAGATATGAAGCTTTTAAAGTCGCACTTTGGTATTTAAACTTTGCGCTGCAAATACAAATTATATGTTGCGTTACATTGTATAAATAAAAAAGTCTCACAGATGCAAAGCTTTATTTTCTAAGTTAAGTAATATTTACGTAATACCCTCATTATGTAAGTAAAGTAACACTTCGATGCGGAGCTTTTATCTCTAAGTGACACTTAGACGTAGATTTTTATTGAATAAGTCAAGTAATACTTAAATATAAAATTTCAATATTCAAGTGAGTGAATAAGAGAAAATTAAATTGATTTTGTTTACTTAGGAGCCATCTAAGTGTTTCTACTTCATTTTAGCTATCCTGCGCATATAGTTTTTATAAACTTAACACCAAACAGATTTTGAACCAAGTTTATATTATAATAGATATAGTTTAACCAATTATACAACTGGGATGTTTTTGTTATCCAAGTTGTTTGAAAACAAATACATTTTACATCACTGATAATGGTTTTCCAAAGGAGACCCAAAACTATTAGAAAGCGCTCGAGTTTTGGATCTCGTTTGAAAACCATTACAACTTTTGTATGTGATCCTATGTGCTAACTTCTTAATCAGATCTAACATCACTGATACTGTTGTATTGATCGTATTAGAGTTGTAGCAAAGTCTTTATCTTGTTAAGAATCCAAACAAAGAAAAACCCAAAATTAACTGGATCAGAGTGCGATATCAACGATTACTTAGGTTGTAATAGGGGAACTTCATTTATTTTTTTTTGTGTTAAAAGTTTTAGGTTCTTTATTCTTATATCCTCTAATCCAGCGTTTCCCAAACTATGTTTCGCGGAACACTGGTGTTCCGTTTAAGATTGATAGGTGCTCCGTGAGAAAAAAAAAATCATGAATTTAAATTATAATAAAATATTTAACACTTTCTGTTATATCATAACTTATTATGAAATAATTGGATAATATCGACTTTGCATTGAACAAGAATTATAGAAGATGCCATATCTATTCTACATAATATCTTAGTGAAGAAGTTTGTACCTAAAATGTATTATTAGCATAAATATGTAATTTGATTAAATAAATAAATGAATAATATACAAATCTAGAAGGAACTGCGCGCGTAACATATCATCTACACTGATACTTCACGTGTCGAGTTTTCCATTAAGCTTTTTCGCAGCTGAAAAGTGTTCCGTGGACAAAAACGTTTGGGAAACGCTGCTCTAATCAGTCACCAACTTCCTAAATTATGCGATCTGTTGATTGTTTTTTCCTACCCTCATTATTTTGTTTGTTTCAGAGTTATTGTGCAAAACTACACAAAGATATTTTCGCGTAGCCTTACGCAATTTTGATCTGACGGACTAGAAAAAGAAAGCACCTAATCAACATTACCCACTGCCAACTTTGGGGATAATTTTGTCTGAACAAAAATTGGGGTTTGACCTTCTCTCTCATAGTGTACCCACGGCCTCAAAGGGCGAAGCGCTTTTATACAGCAACAGGTCGCAAACCACAAACTCTCTGATCCACAGTCAAGGCGCGCTAACTACTAGATCATACCCGACCAACCCAATATTTAACTCCCTACGTTTTTTCTTACGATTCTTGGGTTTGTCTTCATAAGAATGAGTTTGATAAGATGACATCTATATCAGTTTGTGTCAACTTTTTGCTCCTCAAGGCCCATTATTCGACACAACAGTAATGGCCCATATTTGTGGTTGATTAATTTATATCTTTGGGCAGTGACAACTGTACTGGCCTGCGGCGGCCTACAACTGCGCGTCTCATCGCTCATCGGTTGGGAATCTTTGACTTACATCACTCTTTTCAAACACAGTGATAATCAAATAAAGCATTGAAATCGGAATTTTAAAGATTCATGCATGCTCAAATAACCTAAAAAAATACATTTTAAATTCGGATGATAAAATAACAGAATTTTGTGTAGTTTTAGTATGATAAAGCTAGTTTGACAAGAATCATTTCTAGAAATGCCAGTAAAAGAAGAAATGTGTAAATAGTTTTTAACACTTCATAAAATCTACAAACTGTAGATAAAGAAGTTTGTTTGTTTTAAATTTCGCGCAAAGCTACACGAGGGCTATATGCGCTACCCGTCCCTAATTTTGCGTGATAGACTAGTCACTAGTGGGAAGACAGCCTAGTCAAAACCACCCACCGCTAACTCTTGGGCTACTCCTTCTCTTTTGCCAACGAATAGTGGGATTGACCGCGACATTATAACGCCCACACGGATAAAATGGCGAGCGTGTTCGATGACAGGGATTCGAACCCGCGACCCACAGATTACGAGTCGAGCGCCCTGACCACCAGGTTATTCCAGGCCCAGAAGGTCTAGTACGTTATCCATTCGACAGGACTCTCTAGACAAATAATACAATTTATTTTTGAATTTTCAACGAATTACACCTGCCTGGAGTCTTGTAGTGGTCAACGTTTCAGCTTCTGTGCTGAGGCCTTTATCAGGACAGAGTAATTTATTACAACTACCGACAACAACAACAACAAAATATCGTGCTATGCGCTTTGGGGACGTGGGTGCGTTGTAAGAGTGACAGTCAAATTCCACTATACGATTTAACAAGAGTAGCTCAAAAATTGACAGTGGATTGTATTGACTAGCTTCCTTCCCTATTGTCTATTATTTTGAAATAATGAACGGCTAGAACAGATAGCCCTCAAGCAGCTTTGCGTGAAATTCAACAAACTAACAATTGAAAATCTGAATGTCTCTCACAAGAATGTATCATACAATTTTCAGCTTTATTATATAAATTTGTGACACGGTACTCGCGCTGACTTGATGAGGGCTACAATGTACTGATCAAATTGTCGTCCACCACAATAATTCAGGCAGATGTGTCTGTTTAAGATTTAAAGCTAGTACTTCCTATTTTGCCAAAATTACCATTTTAAAAGCCTGTTTCTTCCGTCAAACCAATATTCGCCAGTCTGTATTATTCTTTGGAAACTCATTTAAGTTTTTATTTATTTTGATTCTTAAATTAGAAGACGCATAAGAACAGAAACATTTTACCACCTCTCTCTCTTACGAACAAAGTAACGCAGTGAAACAACATTATACAGACACACACACACTTACATACCTGGAGCATCACCTACGTCACAGGCCGGTAGAGCTGCAGTTATTTTCATTTGTGTGATCCAATCAGCTTGGTGTTCTTTCTGGATACCGCAAGGCTCATTGGAAAACACTTGAAGGTCGCACTCCTATACGCAAAATAATACAGAAAGTTGGTGCAAAAATTCTAATTCTAAACGCCTTTAATAAACAATAAAGAGAATTCGAATCATGGTCTTGAACTTTTATTTTTCATTCCGCTATTATGATGGCCTCATAAGTAGAAGAAATACAGACGCAAATAATATACGTATGGTGTTTTAAGATGTATTTTACTCATACACCAAAACACCATATACATATAATATATACTCCAACACTATATGAAGCCTCGTCTTATTATTTCGATTTTCTCTTAATTAGGGTTACTGATTGACAAGTGGTAAATCGAATGGGCTTCCCATTTATTTTTTTAGAACACAAATAATATGTTATACAATATAATTTTCTCGTAACAAGACAAAGCACTTAAAAATACTCGTGGTGTTTGATTCTATGACAGAATTCAAGAAGCATATTTTCGTGCCATCTAAAGATTTGTTTCTTAAATGAGACGTATAATGCCCTGTCTCAGTGATTGTGAAGTGAAACCATTGACTTGATTAATCGAATAAATCTTGTATGTCACTGTGATTTTCGACTAGGTAAATCTGCATACAAATCAATACACTTCCGTGTTCGTAGCTTTTATGGTTGTCGTGAATTAGAGGTTTTAATAACGGGTGTAACCAGGTTTTTGTGAAGAGATATTAAAAAAATCTGATAATTTAATTTATATGCTAAACATGCTTTGAAATAATAATAGATAATATAATAGGGCGTAGTGGTGACCATGGCTTTTATTTAGCCATACATCTTTCATCCATTGTTATTACCTAAATATTATTTAATTAGTATAAGGACAGCTAGTAAGAAGATAAAATCAACGAAACTGATTTGGGCACGAGCTACATGAATTGGGAGTAGACAGTTTGGTACATCAAAGTTATATTAATTAAGCTGTACTGAAATAAAACACCGAGTCCTTGGCAATTACAGCTGCATTAAAAAAAACATCGCAATTATTACACGTGAGTAATTAAATGTTCGGAAAGAGAATGTAAGCCAATTTTGAACAACTTGGAAATGTATCGGTTGTCGTTAGAGTATGATCGAACCAAACATATTATATACTGTCACTGGATATTTTAAAGCTAAAGTCTTTTTATTTTTCTTCATCTTATCGACAATTTCATATCACGAGAAACTATTTTGTCCTATTATTTAGTAAAAGTATTGTAATGTTTCATCAGTTTTTGCCATAAGGTTTTCTTATGATGCAGATTCGTAATGTTCACTGCACAGCCGGTCTGGTGTAATGAAGGAACCGCTCGAATTACACCTAGTTACGCTCTTTATATAATTGCAAGGGTTCTAGATTGCTGCTGAAAACCAGCACTAACCTGTTTCAAACTACACACTTGATGGGGGAGATCCGGGCTGAAGGGTGGTTCCTCATGTGTGACTGACAGGCGATAAACCAGTAAAGTGTAGGTATTAACTACCCATGGTTCCGTATGAGAAGTATCCACTACAAAAAAGGAAAGCTTGTTTGGACCCACTCCAAGCGTGTAATTGGTTGGCCTGTAAAAGAACAAAAATCAATGGGGTAAATCATAAACTGTCATGTTGTGTTGAAACTCACTTGGATAATAATAGAAAGAGTTAATGTACAATTCAGTTTCATAAACTTGAATTTGAAATACAAGTATACATTTTATTTGTTGAAAATAATAAAATCCGAGTATTTATTCTGAAAATGACCCTTAAAAAACAGGGCATACCTGGATGGTCCATATTTATCATCTATTCGTACTTCTGTTTGACAGTTCTGGCCAAACGCCCACACTCTCAACAATAGCTGGTCGTAGGAGACGTTAGCAATGTAATCCGATACGAGGGAAGAAAAAGATGGTGTTAGGGTTAACGGTGGTGACGTCGTTATCTGACCGATGTACGGCATGGTTATTGGGTCTAAAAGGGTAAAGTAACACGGGATCTACTGGAACTTAAGTGCAAACATTACTGTCATTATGTAAGTAGCATCGGAACATGCAAACCAAATCAAACTAATTTCAATATTCTACGCATGCGTAAATATTGTGAATATATTGTTCAACATGTACATTAACAAAAATTCATAAAAACTGAGAAACTTAAATAAACAAGGTAAGTTATATTAAATTGGGTCTTAATAATTATTTAAATGTTTTTAGAAGAAAAGTATCAATAAATGCTTCGTAAGCGTCTGATGTTTGATTTACTTATCAGAACAATGTGGGAAAGCTACTTTATTTTTCTGAGAATTAACATGATTAATTTCAATATTTTTATTGTTTGTTTTTTCATGAAAAAAGCAGAAAACTTACCACTGCTACACTTTCTGCTGGTAAATTGGTCTAGAAAAGGAAGACAAAAACCTCATTACTCTTACATTTATAAACTTACCTATTCAAGAAACATTGCTCGTCGAACATTTAAATTTAAGCTTCCTTCCCGAATCGGAAGTTAAACGTTATATACATATGATAGTTTTGTTTTTGTTCTGATTAGTTTATAATATTAGATTTGCTCGTCGTATGCCTAACTCGTCTACTATGAGATTAGGTCGTCAAGAAATTAATGTCGCGTTTCGGAACACTTTCATTAACCATCCTCCCAAAAACGTACATCACGTGTAGTCTATATAATGTGTAAAGTTTAGCATATTCTAATCCCTTATAGTGACGGTACACGACGAGAAGCACTTTCGGCATGTAATGCTATTTGAATACAAGAAGGTAAATAACGCCTTTGTAGCCACAAAGAATATCAAAGAAGTTTATGGAAGTGTTTTGAACGTTCGTACGTGCCAACGCTGGTTCGTCAAATGTCGTTCAGGTGACTTTAGTCTTAAAAACTGTG